GATATTTAAGGAGGCCAGTATAAAAGTTTATTTTAAAAATTAGGTAAGAGTCTAACAGATAGAGAATACATCCTATTTTTTATTGCTGCTGTTGTTGTTATATGTTGTTGAGTTGCCTGCGACTCATAGCAATCCTATGTACAACAGCTATGAAGCGTGTCTGGTCCTGAGGCAGTCTCACTAACTCTAACACACCTACCCACATTGTCCCACTTACTGTATCTATCTCATCAGGGATCTTCCTTTCCTGCACTGTCTCTCCACTGTTCCCTTCCGAGCATGATGTCCTTCTCCAATGACCATTCCCTCTTGGCCATGTACCCAAAATATGTGAGACAGAGCTTCAAAATACTAGCTTCCAAGGAGAAACTTTTTTTTGTCCTCTCCAAGATAGATCTATTTGTTTTCTTGGTATTTTGTGGTCCATGGTATGCTCAAGACTCCTCTTCAACACCACAACTAAAAGGAGATTTTAAAATGATATTTTTCTTTAATGTAGAAATTAATCTATATATCTATATGTCTATATATCTATATATCATCTATCTATCTATCTATCTATCTATCTATCTATCTATCTATCTATCTATCTATCAACAAAGTTCAAGCTGTTGCCTTTGGTTCCTAAATTCAACTATGGAGATACACAGAAGAGTAAAGGAAAGAAACACAATAAACAGTATCTAAACAACAAAACAAGAGGAATTCCTTGAAGGGCTAAGAACTGTATTCAACTGGTGCTCCTGTGTCCTGTAATGCGCTGGGAGTGGGTTCACAGAATTGATGTAGATTTATATAGCCTGGAAAAGGCAGCAGATAACAAAGCAGGTTGAAGGAAATCTTTTCTAGCTCTTTCTTTGTTTCTTCCCAGTGTTTTAGAGACAATTCATTTTCTCTGCTTCATTGATAGAGCAGTCAGAAGCTGCAGGTAGGAGGCAGATCAGTGTGCATTGGTTGAGACAGTGTGACTCTAGAGGTATGTTATGCTTATTATTATTGTTATTAAAATTTAGAATACAATAGAATAGAAATAAGAGAAACTAATAAGTATCAGAGGGAATGTAAGGATTCTGTCATGAGATACTTACACCTATTAATACAGAACTGTAGCGGTTAAGAAACTGCACTGCAATCCCAAAAGTAATTTACTGCCTCTGAAAATCCCCCAGGGGTCATGTATGGGTCAGTTCTGACTCTATAGTACACAACAAAAATATATCTATTAATCTATACATACACACAAATATAGACACTTTATAGAGTTATGGAAAATATTCTTTTTTATAAGTGAAGTTTTTTTAAAGTACTGCATTTGATTTTGTGATATTGTCCTAAGAAAAGCAGAATATCACAAAATTGCACAGCCTCTTCAATTTAGAAACTACACCTTTAAAACGATAAAGAAATGTTACAATATTATTTCTAGGTGAACAAATAATTACGGTTTTATGATTACCTCACAGTTGACTCCAAAGTGAAAAACAGTATTTCTTTTATATAATATTGAAAGGAATATGGTGATAATGTTCTTCTGAACAGAATACCTATCTTAATTCTTAATAAGACTATTTGGAATATTCTCTTAAAATTTTTTAAGTGTAGGTGTATCTTTCTTGATAGTATCATATTGTATTTAAATTCTAATTTTTCACTGCAATCCAATAGGTGCAGGTTCGAATCCACCAGATGCTTTGCTGGAGAGGGAGGAACAATCTCCTCCTGTACCAGTCAGATCTGATTTGACAGTACACACAAAAAAATAATAAAATTAAAAAAATTCTAATTTTTAATTATATTTTTATTCCTAGGGAAAAAAAGTACTTGAAATGAAAAAAGAAAGTGCCAAAGAGTAAGCTTTGCCAATAAAGAATACTATAGGACGATGCTTTTTACCCTGATAGGTCACAACCTGACCTGAAACAGTGCCTTGGTTCTTTCCCTTCCTAGCCCCTGAATGGGAGCTAAACCTAGATTTAGCAAGGTTTTCCATTGAGCAAATGCAAGCTTCCAGGGAAGCAGCATTCCCCAGGGAGCTTTAATAAAGAAATTAGGATGTAGGGTAAGGATACTCATAAAGTGCTCACAAAGACTGCCCAACCCAAACCAAGGAGCCTCTCTAATTTCTTCCCACACCCTTGTTGCCATCCCTGAGAAGTCCTAGGCAAAGTTGTGTGAAGTGAGTGCCACATTGCTTCCACCTTGAGAGGTCTCTGGGAATTGTCAGCCTTGCTCTGAGAAGACACCTTTCAGGTCAGTGGAAAGTGTAGTCCAAGGTTCTAAAGAGTGTCCAAGTAAGGACCAGACACTGAATGGTAGAACAAAGTAGTTCCTGCAACCATCCACTTTATACTTCATCTGCTCCCTCCGCTCCCTCTGAGAAGGCACCAGAAAGAGTGACAGGAAGTATCTTCCAGTAAATTCTATGCTGGAGTATGGTCTACAGTGAGCCAAAAGGATCCCAAGGGGCATCGCGTGTCAAGGTAAGATGCAGAGAATCGAGAGCCTATCAATTCCGAAATCGAATGGGCACTACAGAGACCCCCCACCCCCACCGGTCTGTGTCAAGAAACCTAGAATAAATGTCCACATTAGACTTCCGCCTCAGTGCTCTGTGACGTAAAGGCTTATTTAAGTGTCAGGTGTTCTGAGGCTCCGTCGTCACAGGGACAATGAGGTGAATTGACAGAACATAGAGGCCTCACAGAACCCCACTGCAGTTTTCTAGGCTGCATAGGAAGATGAAGATCTCAGTTTAGAGAGGTGACTATCAAGTCGACGGACGGAGGATCCAAAGGGTCCAGGTATGTTTAGCCTGGTTATCTGGTTATCCTTTCTTTTTTCCTTTCTTTCTTTCTTTCTTTCTTTCTTTCTTTCTTTCTTTCTTTCTTTCTTTCTTTCTTTCTTTCTTTCTTTCTTTCTTTCTTTCTCTCTCTCTCTCTC